TCTCATCTCATCTCATCTCATCTCATCTCATCTCATCTTATCTCATCACATCTCATTTCATCTCATCTCAGCTTATATCATCTTATTTTCTCGAATCTCTTCTTTTCCTATTTATCTTCATTTCATCTTATCTTTTATCCTAGTTCTTATTTTATTTCTTCTCATTTTATATTCCCATATTTCATTTTATCTTATTTATTCTCATCTTTTCTCTTCTTTTATAGCCTTTCTTATAAAATCTTATCCTATCTCATCTTTACTTTTTTTCATTTTGCCTTCTCCTATTTCTCTTTAATCATTATAAATTTATTTTGTTTTGAAATTCTGTTTATTCTTTATTTACACCCATCTTCTTTAAAACTATTTTTATATATTCTTTTCTTATTTTGATCAATTTTTATCTATTTCTCTTTTATATCTATTTATGCTTTTCTCAAATTCCTATCTCTCTTTTATTGCCTTTGAAATCTACTGACATTTTTATTTTGCTAAACGTCTTCTGATTTTATTATTATCTCTTGAATATTATTTTATTGCTTTTCTAATTCTGCTTCATTATGTCTAAACTAGTCCTCTTTAATTTTTGTTACGTCTTCGATTAGAATGGCAATCCTTACTTTTTCAATCAGCATTTTCATCATCATTATTTGAGCTTAAATTAGCCTGCCCCTTGACCCATTTCTCCTTGACCGTGCAACAGATTGGTAATTGCGCTGATCATCACGATCCAGCATTGAATCTCATCGTTGGAGCTGAAGAGACCAGTCTATGCTTGGTCGAAACTGCAGGCTGGATTGAATTAGCTTTTGGGTGGCACGGCCAAGTGAAATTTAATAGTACCATGTGGTCTACTTCTCTTATTGTGGGCAAAACTCAGCTTTCACTCCCTAATATAAAGCAAGGCTGAGTCTGCCAAGATGAACTTAACAGCTCGAATTGGCCCTACTTTAATCCGTCGAAGGGTTGCTCAGGAGTTGTCCGTAGCTTTGTAAAAATACTTCCTCGACGCACCGTCCCGCAACCTTCAACAGAACCTAAAGTTCTTCCAACATCATATCAAATCTTAACTCGCGCAAAGCAATCTAGATTGACTAGATTTTTACTAAATATGACTGTAAATAAAAAGAGGAAGATGCGAAACAGATCGAGCTAAACGGAAGGGGACGACGGGTTCACGTAAAAAGTAGGAAAAGGGAAACTTATAAGCATCTTAGAATTCCAAGTTCCTCGGTCCCAAGAATGACATAATGGAGCAGAAGAGCGGAAGTTGTGGTCTCCGGTTTACTTCTCCTGCAATGAATGAATATCCATCCAGAAAATATTCTGACCAAGTTTAATAGTTGAAATTTCTCGCAATCATGTCAGTAGATTTCACATTTCAATTTCAATTCACAGAGCCTTGCTTCCCTCAAGGTGCCAGCCTTGCCTCACATCGGCTGGACTGGACTGATCTCATCAGTCACCCCAGCGGGACTCAAGCCTGAGTTGCGATAATTTAGCATGCACATCGCAATTGTACGCTGCTCTAGTCGGGTTCGAGTCCATTTCAAGGTGCTGATGAGAGCCGAGCCAAATTGCAACTGTGGTGCAGCCCAGCCGGAATGACAATTGGTTTTGGGAAATGACTAGAAATATTATTAGAGAGAACTTTGCCAGATTTATGCCAGCATTTAATAGAGGCAGGTCCATCTGCATTTAAAGTCATCCATGTGTATCCTCTTCATCCTCATCATCATTACCTTTTGTAAGCCATTTGCTAGCGATTGATGTCGTCTGAAAATGAGTCATTTTCTTACAAACGCATCAATTTGATTTTCCGTTAAAATTTGCCGACAGGAGGAGACCAACGCGCTGAAAGAGGAAAGGTCAAATCTTCTGCGGCAACAACGGTTTGTCGACAAAAAGATGGCCACTCTGACGATGGAACGAGATCGCCTTAGTCGACAGTCGGCTGAACTAACTGGCTCGCTCGAGGATCTGGAGAAGCGTCTACGACGAGCAGAGCTGGCGGCCTCCGAAAGTAATACAGGCTTCCAGGTGACTTTTGCTTTCTCCACGTGTCTCCCAATTTTGGCAAAGTAAATCAACCATAAATGGAATTAAGTCGGGCAGGTTCTGGCTACTTCAGGTTCGCTTTTCAGAATCGGAGCTTTAACTGACGATTAACTTAAAGTACCAGTTTGTCTTAACGTTCTTTAAGTTATTCTGTGTTCACAAATAGCTGTTCCATTAAGACGCTGAGAAGAGGTCTTGTTTGAGCATCCACAACTCGGAATGCGAATTAAGGTGTTGCGATACATTTGCGATTTGTGCTATTAGTTCTGACAGTAACTAATTCCGTATTGTCATTAGTACTTTCTTTATCATTGGAACTATCTCACAATGGACCCCAAAATGCACGTCTACACTTTTCACCTATTTGCTTTACTTATGGAGGAATTTCCGAAGGACTTTACGGTAGCTGTGAAATTAAGTCTAGGTAGACAGGAAAAAGACCTTTTAATGTGCCACTGCTACTTGGGAAGCGTTTTTATCTCATTTTAACGAAGAATGCAAATGAGTGTTAAAAAAATGTGTGGATGGAAACAAATTGATGATAGCTCAGTTTTCAGAGAGTGGTTGATGATTTGTCGAAACTACAATGAAGACCCTTCTGCCAGGTGGGTTGGCAAATTCAAATAAAAAGGCTTACTATCTTAAAATCCTTTAAAAGCAAATTGTATTTAATATATGAATTTGCTTCTTTCTTAAATTTTTAAACAGCTGGTATAATTATAAAGTCAGCAAATTTCGAGGACTTTATAGCCAATATCTGACAGTTCTAATTGCTATGAGTCTATAGTACAGAGTTCAAATAAACTTCATGGTGGTTTGCCTTAATATAAAGGTTTAGTAGGAGGTACAGATTTGAAATGAAGATGTTAAGGATAAAGTTTGGTTTTACATTTCGCATTTGCTGCTACGGCATGAGGAAAACTAAAGCAATCGAGCTTTTGGACAGTAAAACATTTTTTTATACCACTTTAACTAGCATTCCTTTCGTGATTCAGTGAAGAGTCAAAATAATCCTTTAGGCAAATTTGTACTCACAAAAGCTCGCAACTGATGTTTGTTGCAATACATGACCATTGGTAACTCACGGGTTTAAGACTTAGTAACATATCATAGCGACCTTTTAAAAGGGTCGAGCCACTGAGCTTCATCTAATTTATGATATAATTGTGAATGCAATGGTTACCCGAGCGTTGAATCAGCCTCAGTGCAAGTTTTTTAACCATCACTATAAGTAATATTTGCAACACTTCCTCTTTTCAATCAACTTGAATATTTCATTGCTTGAAACTTGTTCCTTCAAATGAATCTCTCTATATATTCACAACGAATTTTAGATATGAATATTTTTTCTTCTTTATCCTTTACAACTTATTACTCTACACTGAGTTTTCATTCATTTCAAACATACTACTTATGTAGATTTTTGTGATTTGCACATTCCACCCTAACCTAATTGCATTAGCCGGAATTTGTAAATTTTTGATTTACTTTGAAAATATCACAGCAAAATAATGCTGCCAGCAATTAGATGGTAGTAAAAAAATATATAAGATGCAATGTTTGTAAAGCATTGAAAGGAAGATCAAGAAAATGTATTCTAGTCAAGAATCATCTCGTTTACGGTTTAGGCGAGAACTTCCTACAAATATTTAAACATGCAACAGGTAAACTTATAGCTACTTGCGTTTCTTGCCTCATCCAACTGGCATAACCACTAGGTGCTGCGTAACATTTAATAAATATTTTTAGTTTAAGTTAACTTGAAAAATCACTGCACGGAGCCTTCTCATTGCTGCATTCATGACTAATACCTCTATCTTGATCGACATCATTTTATGGCATTAGGACTTATTTGGCATAAACACATAAATAAAAAGCAATATGCTTTACCCTTTATTTTTGTCACTGTCGGCTTTTACTTTATAGAAGCGTTTTTAAACCGTTTTCACTAACAAATTTTCAAGCTTCAAATTTAGCCACGGGGTTGTCATAAAGTAGAATCCAAATTAAAACAATAAAAAGTATGTAATGGTTATAATATAGAATAGGTACGCTGAAAACTGGGCCGTTATACGAATAATTGAATATGACGCAAAGTATGGGCACTTATTAGAAAAAGGTACTGCCTTTCGAGCTTGAAAAACAGCGTGAATTACGCTTCACCAAACTTCGGGATCGCCAAAGCGTTGCTGTCTGCAGGTTTGATCTTGATTCCAGAGTCCTCATCCTATCGTTGATAGGGCTCGTCAATGCTCAGATTCTATAGTTGCTCCAGCTATCCGTTAGCTATTTGTTGCACAGATTGAAGGCTGCAAATGTCTACGAAAGCGGAATACATGGGTTTATTACAAAACGAATAGAAAACTTCCATACTCAGTATAGACAAATAAACCCAGGAGTTGTCGTATTCTTCACGATTTCACTCTCCACGTACACAATTTCTATAATCTTACGGAATTAATGAGACCTTATAATCAAAGAATGACTGGAAACGGACGCTATAACATTGAAGGTGTATCGAATAAAGAGGGTCGTGTTGTACGGGTGACATAGATGAATCCAATTTGCTCGGAGACCTCTGCCATAATAATTGTCAATGTGGTGCCGGCAAAATGTATTTGGATGCCCTAAATTCACAGTTAAAGGTTGGTGTGCCTTAACAACAACGGTCTATGACTTTAAAATAAAGATCAAGCCTGCAAACGACAAAACTTCGGCAAACCCGACGTTTGGTGAAGTGTAATTCCGGTTAGTTTTCAGGCCAGAACTGCTCTAACAAAAAGAATACAACCTCCTTTTCTAATGCATCACGGTAATCTGCGCCCTCTCCAACCCTTGTTATCATGAGGGCATTTTCTTAACAAGTTGTTGTTACAAAGTAGTATAAAAGTAGTATTTAAAAGTTATAAAATATTATACATGGGCTTAAAATTGAGCGATCATACAGCACTGTCATTTATTATAAAAGGAGGCTGTATTCTCTTCCTTAGA